ACCACTGGGGCTCGAACCCAGGTCCCATAGGTTACAGATGCGCGCTTCTACTACTGGAGTGGCTATACATCTATTAACATAAGCAAAACCATAAATTTACAAGGCAAAACGCGCCTTGAAGACTTCATCTTCAACCTCTAGCCAGACCAATTGTAACTTGCTCATTTCTCATCAAAAATGAAAACTGTAAACATGAAACTTGTAGCAAATTTTCTCACGATTCCAGAAATGTAAAGTGTTAAAACTATAGATTAAAGATAAGCATGAATTTTAATAGCCCTAATCTGAACCCTAAAAATTTCAGAAGTTTCGGTTTCAAAATTCTCTAAGTTCAAGCAAAATTAATGGAAACTATGGACATGGTTAGCTTTAGGGCAATGATATCTACATGTTTTGTTCACAAATAAACTATTGATGATGTTTGTATGAAGAGTTCCAAGTTGAGAAAACTTACCTCAAAACTGGAAATCGTGTTTGGAGTTTGAGCTTGTTTCATGCAGTGGTGATGATCAGGTTAGCTTCCTTGAGGTCCTAGGAAGCTAATGCAATGGTTTGCTTGAGTTGAAAGTGGCTGAAATGACCTGGAGAAGTCAATGTGAAATGCTCTGTTTTTTGTTATGGAGGATGTGGTAAATGACGTTACAGTAATGAAACAGGGACAGGGATAGGTTACACTTGAGGTAAGGAAGCTTTAGAAACTAAAAGGCCAAGAAACGCACGAGGGAATGTGAGTTTGAAGTCCAAGGTCAGAAACTGTGCAACAATGGAGTTTTTGGGAAATTTCTGATTTGAGAGAGTTTTGGTGTATTTGATGGTGCTTAAGCTCGTCCTCTAGCTCACAAATAGTGACTATATTTATAGGCAACAAGTTTGAAGTGCTCTAGTTGATCAGAATTCAAATTTACATGTTTAAGTTAAACATGTGATATTTTTGACAAAACAAGTTTCCATGCCTTGTACTTGCTAAGATAGAGTGGTTATGCTTTAAACAAGCTTGCTTCTGACTTTGTAGATGGAGTGTGATCGGAGTGAACAAGTTAGAGGCTCAAGAATGAACTTTATGCAAAAAGCTTGCTTTACAAGAATGGCAATGTTAACTTTGTGCCATTAATGGAAATGCAACTTGGATAATAGCTTTATTGCTTGGATCAAAGCCCTAACAGCTATGTAAACATTTAATTATGGAGTGAAAAACAAGTTTGAGGCCTGCAAAGCAAAGATTATGCAGCCTAGCATGGATTTGGTTCATGTGTTCATCAAAAATGACTTGTAATTCAAGTGACAAAACCCTAATTTCATCTCTTCGATTCTCCTTACTCAAGAATGATCCCAAGGAGTTCTTGGACATTTTGGAAATCTTGCAATATACTCTACAACCCATATTTGAATTGCTTTTGACTATTCTCCTTGGAACTATATGAAAAAGTGTCATGAAGTTAGGTCAAAATCCTGACCAAATTAAGGCAAAATTTCACTAAGTGTTTAGTTTCATGACCACGTGTTCATAAAATTATAACTTGAGATCCAAGCATTTTTGGAAGGAGTTGTATAGAGAAAAGTTGTATATTTCATAGAGATCTACAACTTTCATGTTGGAAGTTTCTCTTGAATCATCTTCTATCATGGTGAAAATTTGGCTCAAAGTTATAAAAAAACATGAAATTTCCAACACTTAGAAAAATTTCTAAGTTTAAAAATTTTGACTTTTCAAAATGAAATCTTGACTTTTTGATTTATTGATGAATAAGTTTCATATTTTGACATGTTTTGATGAATTGTGATCCTTGGCACTTGAATTTGACCAAAAAGTCAAAGTTTGACTTTTCAGTATACGACTTTTGATCAGTTGACTGGAAAATTCATCTGTCAATCCAATGGACTTGCAATATTTTGAACCATGTCATTAGGTCAAAATGATGCAATTGGACTCTTGAGATCATGCCTTAAACCAATTGACCATTTTCTAGGTCAAAAACCAGAAATTGCCCTTTCCCAGTCAAAATCCTAATTTTGACCATTTTGCCCTTTTAGGGATTTGATCAAATTTCTTGAGGAGTTGTGGTCCAAACTTGATAAAATGATACATATGAGTTTAAAATGTTGATTTGGATCAAAAATTATGAAGTTTGACTGTAAATTGGCCATGGTTGACTTTTTCCTCAATACAACTGATTTTTAGGTCAACTGCTCAATTGACTGATCAAAAATGTAATCCAAGGTTTGAAACTTGACATGAGTAATCTTGGGGGTCCATAATGATCCATGAAAGTTATATGGGGCATTAGAAGTTCCAAAATCCTTGTGCAAACTCAAACCCTTGTTTTGGGTCATCAGTGTATAAGGAGGTGTCTTGAGTTGATCAAACTCTAATGCAGTCTTGAGCCCAGGGAGATCTTGTGAGCAAATTCTTGATAAGTGAAAGGAAAAATTTTGGGTTACAACACTCTGCTATTTTCTTTACATGTTTAAATTGCTAATGATACATGTTTTGTCCAAATTAGAATACTTGGCCTCCTCTTGGGCTCGTCGTCAATGAGCAGGTATCCACTTACAAAATGCACACTTGCACATATTTCATAGTTTGGTCATGGGCTTTTCTACAGTGATAACTATTTGATCGATTGTTTCAATTAGTCATTTAGAATATTAGTGTCACGCTAGTCCCACTTTTTAGAAGCATGCATATAGCCACCTTGTATGGGCTTTTGATTTTCATCTTATCCATTAAAGCAATTTCTCTCTCCTTGGGCCACATACCAAGCATCTTCTTAAAGGGTCTCATAGTTGAGTTTGGGCATGGCCATTCTCACGAGGTTAATCAAGTCTTGCCCTTGATTAACCATAACCCGAATCAACCACTTTGGCCCATAATCCAAGTGTTTCTATGCACAAAGGGTTTCATAGTTGAGGGTAGGAGCACCTATTCACGAGATTAATCAAGTGCACCCCTTGGTTAATCATAACCCGATTCAATTTCCATATACCAAGAATTCCATTTACTCCTTTCACGATACTACTCGTTTTGTCGTCACTTTTTCCATGATCACTCTTCACAAACACCGTCTCCTTTTACTTATAACATGCTCCCTTAGGATGATAGTTTCCTCTTCTTAAGGATGCCGACTAATTAGACATTAGGGTTGAATCCATGCATGACAACATTAGGATACTTCTTAGTCTCCCTCTTAACCTTTTTTTCTTCTTTTGTAATTAAAACTTATCATTCACAAATCAGAAACCCAAAAACATTAATCATTACTGGAATTCATTAAAACTCGCAAAACACTTAATCAAACCTTCCCCAAAGGGCATGTTATCTCCGTTCTACTGTGATAAAGACCGTGCTTATTGCTAGAATGCATGCGTTAACGCCGCCCACTAAAAAAACACCAACAAACCAATATTTTCTAGAAGAACTACGGTGTTCTGATTCCTTCACTGGATACGTAGACAAATGGTGGCGAGACCCTCACGAACGCACTAATAAAAAACCATTTTCTTTCTCCTTAAGCAAGTATAGTTATAGATAAACACACCCTTAAAAGAAAACAAACAAAATGGATCCCGTTGAGTACAACGGATGTGAGGGGTGCTAATACCTTCCCCTCGCATAACCGACTCTCTTACCCTTTCTCTTGGTCGCAAGACCATCTTATCCATCCTCTTGTGGTTTTCTCGATATTTCCTCATCCTTCGGGATAAATAAAATTCGGTGGCGGCTCTGTGTTTTCTGTCGGTAGCTTCAACTAACCCTTTAAGATTCACTCAACTATTGTTCTCCCCGCGAGACAAACACACCAAACATCGCTCGAACTCCTCGCACAAAGTCGTTCGTGAAACGTCCCCCTTTTGCGGGCATGTCTTAAGTCATCACTCCTCTGCCCGAAAGCAACTTGGGGGCTCCTGTTCTGGATTGGCCTAATGACTAGAATTGGTCAACTTCGATTCTACCTCTTCACGGTCCAAACAGCTTTGATCCACTAACTCTGATTCTCGATCAAACACACTTGATTGACTGCTCCATAATAATATCGAGGATAATGATACCCTGACTATTTGTCTTCCAGCATCAACATCTAATTTCAGGTCTACTTGCTACTCGTCGAGGAGGCAACAAAGAAGGCGCTCACAACGCGTATGTCCGTCATCTCACCCTTGCTCGAAGCAACGGCTAGTTACGGACACAACTGCCCGTTTTGACCAAGTCCTGATAGTTACCTATTTTTGCGGACCCGAATATCCAAGCCCAAAAATAGGAACCAATGGCTACGCGCTGGGGACATTATATAAACCATCACACTTATGAGGGTCAGGTATCGAATATTCATACGAAAAACCCTAATTTATTTTTTGTATCTTTTTGCACTCTTTCTCACTAGATTGTCAGAGTGTCTTACAAGTACACCCCCCTCCTCTCCTCGTATTTCCAGCTAAATAGACGTCATCATTTCAATTCACTTTCAGATTCTGATCAACCGATAAAATCAAAAATAATTAAAAAAACTTAAATATATAATTTTAAAAATAATATTTTAAGATAATCTATGATGTTGCCGTAGATTTTCATTATTGCTCATAAAAATGGATGAATCAATTACTCATTTTGAGTGAGAAAATTCAATTAAACAAAATGCTGTCTCTATCGATGTTAATACTCAAAAACTATTCCAACGCGGAAACAAACACAGCCTTAAAAAATGTAGATATTATGGTACGAATGCACAATATGGATTTAAATTCAGTTTTCAAAATTTCACTCAGGTACGATTCAGGTTTTTAACTATAATACCAAAAAATAAAGGGAAAAAAAAGAAGCCAAAAATGCCTTATCTCACAAGCAATCCATCTAATCTATGTATAACAAATCACAATATGTATTTCAGCACTCTTCGTGTAGCAAAACCAACAAAGTATTTGTCCCCTTAAAGTCAGTTCCTGCCATGGAACAAGGGGTAAGACATGACATTCCAACAGCCAAATCATCAAAAGAAGCTTCTATTTCAATCAGTTTTCTCCTCTAAACTTTTCCTTTCTGATACTTCCTCAATCTCAGGGCTATTGTTTACGGGACTATTGCCTGTGATTGTGCTCTCTGCAGCAGAAGCACTAGCATTTAAAACTGCCTCACTATCGCCTGTTTGGGGAGAAGGAAATCCCGAGGCGTGTTCATCCAATTGCACAGACCCCCCATTAGGGGAAGGAAGGCCCGAGATATGTTCATCCAGTTGCACAGAACCTGCCGCATTAGGGGAACGAAGGGCCAACATACGTTCATCCATTTGCACAGACCTCGAATTAGGAGAAGGAAGGCCAGAGACACCGTCCAATTGCTTTGGTTTGTTCAGCGCATGGCAATGCGGGCAGTAATAAGTGATAAATGGGAAATCCTCCTTTCGAGCAAGACCTGAAAATAAATAAATAGATAAAATACATTCTTCGTGCTAATGTGCTATTCATCAATGTCAATACCCAAAAACTAGTACTACAACAATCATATGTTTTTCCTGCAATAAATGCAAAAGGACAAAAGCATAAACGATAAAATCCAGCCCCTTACCGTTATGCATGTGGCAGTTGCCGCATATGAGAGCATAAGATTGAGTTGGATCCTCACCCACAAGCAACGCTGCAACTCTTGCAATCCATCCTGCATCTTGTGGGTTTGAACTTTGAGGTTGATGTTCAACAACAACAAGTTGATTATTCTCAGACCCCTGGGTTTGATCGAATCCACCTGAACCTACTAATTGTTGATCAGCAAAATTTGGTGAGGTTGTCCCTGTACCAGTGGATCTAGTTTGAGCTTGTTTCCGATTTCGAAGTCCAGAGGACTGCACAAGTTCAACATCATTGCTTTTCCCTGTTGAAGCACCACTGCGATTGGAGTCATCACCCATGTACCATTGCAAACCAGAATCTGCACCCAATTTAGACGCCAAAACAGTTGCAGCAGCTGCCTTTGCGGCTGGGTCTGGATCATATCTCTGTACGTCATCACAGGTATAATAGTCAGCAATGTAGAGCAGTGGTGAATATATATACCATCAAAAGCTACTCTCTAGTAACATAGTCTAAAGCACACACATGGGCTTAATTCATAATGAATAAAGGAACTTTGATTCCATTAGTCATGTTGTATGTTCAAATTATTGATTTTTCCAAAAACTAAAGCACTCAAATTATTCTGTCATGTAGAAAAAAACCTAACTGAGAATTATGAGGCATGTCATCAAACTCTGATAAGATTCTGAAAATGAACTAATGTGATGTGCCTATCAACTAAAATTTTCACAGCACTGAACCTTCATAGACCACACTGTGGTCACCAGAGTCTCAAATTTATTTGGTCTGCTCCAAACAGCAATAAAATTATGTAACATAATGAAAACCATGTAACAAGCCTTGTTCCTTGTTTCAATTCTTCAAACAATCACCTGAATAAGCTGTTGTGTGGAGTAATAGTTTGTTTTTTCTTTGAGCTCATCGATTTTTGCTTGCCTTTCAGCTCGAAGCTTTTCAAGAATATTTTCGTCCCTTTGATCACCTACATAATCACACATTATGAATTAAACCAACAAAATTAGGAAATTTTATTCGTTACTTATTGGTGTTCAAGTCATTACAGCCTTTATAACTTATTGATGGCAACAAATTTCTTTATCAAATTAAATGCTACTCCTTCAAGCAATTTTCTATACACACAAGTATCATAAACTGTCAGTACATGATTGAATGAACTTTAGGACCATTTAATGAATCAAAAAAACCTGCTATGACCAACATTTTTATCAGCATTTGCTAACTACCCTGGAGTCATTGATTGATAGCATGAGGAAATTCTTTCATCAAACTATTCATTTCAAGAAGTACTGAACTGCAGACTTTTCTGCTGGCTCTAACAATTATGAGGGCACTTTCTCATAGATAAGAAAACTGGCAGAAATTGTGACTGCCGATGAATTTATAACTCCTTGTGTTTGTAAAATGTTTAGTTTATATCATAAACAAGACCACTAGAGTAATTACGACATGAAAGTTAGGATTTCATTCACATAGATGACAATTGCAAACAAAGCAACACTAGAGTAAACTCAATCACAGTAGAACACACACCGTACATTTGAAGCCCTGATTGTGAAAGAAGAAATAAACATGTAGACTAGATTCTGTAAGATATGCATGTCTAAAGCTTCTAACACTTACACATTCTTGTGAAGCTGATAAATGCTGAATAAGCAGCAGTTGATAGTGCAGGCAAAAGAAACATTGGTAAAACCCGGATTGCCCTCATTTTCCAATCGATACCCACTGATCGTGTTGTCATAATAGCATAACCTACAGCAATGACCTGAAAGTTGAAACTATTTTCAGCAAAATTATATTTTTCATTACAATGAAAAGAAGAAGGGCTACATTTTAGGGGCATGGCAGCAAGTCAGTAATTTACTTACCGATAGACACCAGATAACCGTTTAATTAGCTATTCAATCAAAATAGATAACTAATATGAACTAGTAACTAGTATTAAACCGTACTGAATAACCACTGCTGTGGATTATTGGATCTGTAGATATGTGCCAAACTATAAATAAGATAATGCTTGGCACACGAATTAGAACAAGACATAACACAAGATATAACTTTTGTTTTATATTTGATGCATATTTTAAAAGTAGAACACATTATGTTGATGACAACAACAACCAAACCTTATCCCACTGAGTGAAGTCGGCTACATGGATCAACTTTCGTCATAATATTATATCCAGGACCATGCTTCTATCCAAATTGTTAATCTTGAGATCTTTCTTAATAACTTCTCTTATAGTCTTTCTAGATCTTCTTCTTCCTCTAACTGTTTGACTTCTCTCCATTTGATCTACTCTCCTTACCACATAATCTACAGGTCTTCTCTCTACATGCCCAAACCACCAAAGTCTATTTACCACCTTTTCTACTATAAGTGCTACCACAACGCTCTCTAATATTTTTCACTTCTAATCCTATCTTGTCCACAGTTATTAATAGCGACCGCTCCAGGCACTATCTCGGGATTCTCTCCCAGTGCGGCAACCCTCCGCTACGGAGGGGCGGCGAGCATTCCAGTTTTGGATAGCGGCCGAGAAAGCTGGTTGTGGGAGCGAAACACTTCCCGGCCCAGAGCGGTTTTCTGGTTTTAGGACTTTTTTGGAGTACGAAAAGACCTATTAACCCTTAAAAAAATTAAAATTGGAAAATTTGTTATAGTATTTCCTGCTTTCTCCTCTCTCATTTGCGTTTTCACCTTTCTCCATCGTGTTTCTTCTGTTCCCTGTTTCTCGCATTTTTCGCTCACTGCTTCTCTTGCCCTAACTCCTCCTCCGCCTCAACTGCTTCAAGCTTCTCTCTATTCTTCTTCTTCTTCTTCTTCTTCTTCTCTACTTCTGTTTTCTGCCTTTCTGTTTTGTTCTCTATCCTGTTCTTCTCTATTCATTGTTTTCCTATTCGTTTTCAGGTTGTTTTTTCTTTCATATCGTTGTTTTTTTCCTTTCTTTTAAAATATATTGATTATGGAATTAATATAGGTAGATTATTCATATAATTAGTCCAAAAAGTTATTTAATCTGCATAAAATATATAGGTAGATTATTCACATAATTAGTCTAAAAATCTCGCTATCTTATTTGTGGGGTAGGCAAATCTCGCTATCTTATTTTTGGGGTAGGCCGCTCCGCTCTGCTGTGTGGTCTAGTCTTACTACACATCCAACACATAATGCTAAGTTAAAATTCTAGTTTTTAAAAATAATTGCATTCGCAAAAGCAACAACTGAAAGTTTCCAAATATTAAAGAAGCCACTAAAACATCATGTTCAATGGAGATAAAATGTAAAAACTAAACAGTGAATTAACCATTACTATACTAAAAAATATAGCATAATACCTCAAATAAAACAGAAAATAGAATAAGATTGCGGGACACGCGCCTCCTTGATCGTGATCTCCTGGCCACTCTAGCAATAATAGAAGCTTCCTCTTTAGAAATATGTTGAAGGCGCTTCTCAAAATCATCGCGGTGTAACCTAAAAACCCTAAAAAATCCATTCCAAATTTGAGAAAAGAATCCTTTGCCCTTTTTCTTTTCATTCCCAGCAGCAGTAGGAGTGGTCTCTTTCTTTTCAACTTCCTCAACTGCTTTGTCACCCGCCATTATTATTCCCTCTTGTTTCCTAAAAACAAAAACAAAACAAAAATTCTAACAGATCAACAATCACACTCACATACACAATCCACACAATTACACCGACACCAACACCGTTGCGTCGACACTGGTAATAATTTAAAAAATAATAAATTAAACGTAATCAGGACACAGGGTCCAACAGAATAAACACATGAATTATGGATCCAATTACTAATTCAGTTATAACTAACAGGAAACACGACCAGTGTTAAAATTCAGTGAATCCGTGAATTGAATAATCAGAAAAGAAGAAAAACGATGAAGAAATTGGAGAAATTAACCTCCTCCTTTGATTGATTATGGTGTGGATCGTAGAGATCTGACGATTGAATATGGATTACAGGAGGAGGAAGCAATTGGTTTCTTCTGAGTTTCCAAACGCGGCGTAAACACGTGGCAGGGGGTTGCAATTTGAAAACGAAGACTTGAATGCCACTCAATGTCAATAATCCAGAGGAAAAGGAGAAAAAGAAAACCCACGCACCATATATTAATCATCGAGTAAATAACATGTTATTTGCAACCCTTTTTGTGTAGTAAAAAATTTAGACGTGTGTTTTTTATTATTTAATTCCTTTGACAATTTTAAAAAAAATATCATGTTTTCTAAAAAAATATGATTCCATTGTATTTTTCAAAATACTATGTTTCTAATTTTTTTTTTTAAATTGCAAAAAAGAATCCAATTCAATTGGCACATTAAATAATTCAAGAGTAGTGCTATTTAGAACGGAAATAATTTGAAGAAGAAATTTAAGAATGTACACATGTCATTATTTTAAAAGTGAATTTTAAATTAATTTTAAATTTAATTTTTTTTAATAGAAATTATGAGATAGTGGTGATAATGAATGGTTAGGATTTATTCTTGTATTTTTTATTCTCACATTTTCTTACTAGTAAGCATTTTCCATAATTTAAAGGGTGAAACCAATTGAATTGGTGTATCATATATGCCGAGTCAATTTAATTGACGCCTATAATTATAGGAGGATGTGTCCATTCATCTGACGTTTATGTACATGTAAATTCTTTTATATTTTAAATATTATATTTTAATAGGTGTTTTTGCTAAGTGGTTAATTTCTGCGGGTTTTGCAGGCATGTGATCTACACCAAGTCAAGCCAATTGGTGTTTTTTTAGAGAAAATGCTAGCGTTAATTGAACTGGCTCTTTCGTTGTTTTTATTCGTAGGTACCCCTAGCTGGCCATGCTAAATTCGTGTGTCAACTTTTGCATGCATGAGTAAAAGTCAGTTGAATTGGCGTTAAAGTTCATTTTCAATAGCTAGCGCCAATTGAAATGACTCATGAAGATATTATTTAGCTCTATTAAACATCTCTCAAACCACTTTTAAATCAATTTTAAACCAATTCCATACCAATCTCATACGAGAAAACTTAAGTTATGTCTTGTACACACAAATACATTATCAATACTCGCTGCAATAAAGAGACATAAGTTTATGATGTATTTGATTTAGTTTTCAACATATCAATACTACACGGTTTGCAACCAATAGAAAATAAAATTTCTTGCATTTAAAAAAGAGAATATACTCAAAGTTGAGGTTTGGTCATGTATCACAAATTATGTATCAAAATCCAGATTTTTTTTAAAAACAATCACATCTAATTTTTGCAGCTAAAGGTTCAAGATGAACATGTTGAAAATATATTTGTTAGTTACAAATATTCTTGATTCAACTATATTGAGTTGCATATTTTACTCGACCAACCTCAATAATCTCAAATTGTTGATCAGTCTCAAATATTTGAGCAAGCTAAAGTTGAAGTTGAATTTGAAGTAGTAGTCAACGTCGTTGACGATGAAGAAGAAAATGAGACACATGCTAATTATATGTTGAACAACAACACTGAAGATGACTATTAAGAGCCATTACCTCCAATTCATGTATATTGTGCGCCTCAACACATGAAAACTTGAACTTGAATGAAGATGAGTCATCCTCAGATATTTCTTATAACTCGTATATGCAGTCGTAAGGTGGGTTAAAAGTGGGAGACAATTTTTGCACAAAAGAAGACTGGGCTCAAGCTATAAAAAAGTTTCACATGGAAAACTCTGTTGATTATACTGTAGATCACACTGATGCAGAAGCTTATGCGATTAAACAGTCTATCTCTATGGGTATTTCATGATTTTTGGCTTTCCTTTTCTTCTCATTTGATGGGAGATTTTCAGTTATCCTTCCATTATGATCTCATACTTCATTGATGGTAGGACAAATTTCCTATTTTAGTTATTTCTTCCTTGAATTCTTCAGTTCCAAAGTTGTATCTTATTTCTTCCAGAGTTTTTGTGACTATATTTCCATATGGAAGACACGTTTTTTCTTTATTATTCTTCATCATGTAGTCGATTACTTATTGTAGCCAGATTATTTTGGATTTGTTTTCCATCAACCAAATTGCTTCTACATCAACTTGAGTTATGAGACTAGAGTTTCTCTTTCTTAGAAAAAGTATGTGATTGATCACATAGTGAGTCATATGACTCTTAGGATGGATGTATCCAAAAATGAAGGGATAAGATATGGATGATAGTGGTTCCTTCATAAGAGGTTATGCAGCTATAACGTAGTTGTGTTTGTTTACTAGATCTCTATGTTCAATGGTTGTATCTTCATGAGGGAGACATGGCATATCTCCAAATTCTTATGCTGAGAGATTTATACTACGCCTCTTTACTTTGCTTTGGAGTATTCCATCGGTGAGATAAAGATTTGAGAAGAACATCTTTAATAAGGATGAATATACTCTTTTTAGGGCATACGTGGAAAGGTGGATAGGTTGAGTTCTTATAAGGTTTTAAAGAACTTGTATTCTTTGAAGTCTTCTGGATCTAGGGTGTGAACTATAAGAAGGGATCAAAGAATATCATTTCTTGTTGTTTGGTGGATAACATGTTAGAGAAGGGGATGGAAGAAAAACTCAACCTTTTGGGATTCATGATGATTTTACAAGAACAATCTCACACTCACAAGTTTGAACATAAAATATGAAAATCAAGAGAATGAGAAAAAAATACCTATTTATAGTGTATCATCTGAAGATTTGATCGTGTATTCCTAGCAAGCATTCAATGTAGATTATGTTAATTGAAAATCAAATCAAAATCTTTATCTGCGTAATCGTTTATGCTTGCTTTATCCGCTTAATCTTTATCAAGTTCATTAAACCATAATACTTAGATTTGCATCTTTATCCTCTTAATCACTTAATCTAGACTTGTCAGAAGACATTAGTCGTCATCATCAAAAAAAATTGTACTTATTAAAAGCATATAACCCGCAAAACAAAGTTCCACGAAGATGAAACAACAATTTACAAAGGTGGCCGATTTGGTAATGCTCATCACAGTTGTAAGATAACCCATTTTCACGACGAGATTGGAGTTCCTATGGAGACAAGCATTTGATTGTTGGTTGAGATTTAGGTGGTAATACACTGAGAATCGGTTTAAAAGATGAATACAATGGTGGATTGGGTTTTGGTGGTGGTGGGTAAGAGCTACACTACTCCAAAAACTTTTTCTTCCAGCAACTTGGCAAGGCTAATGGATTAAGTGATGTTCGGAGGTTATAGAGCTTGAACCTCATGGTGAATTCCCAGTTTTAGGCCAAAAAGGAAACAACTTAAGTAAAACGGTGTTGGAAAACCGAAGATTCGATTAGGAAGGGTCTCGAACTGGTTTTGGTAATCATTTACTATGGAGGTTTGGTAGAGTTTAAACAACACACATTTTGGGTCTTCATACATCGATGGAGCAAAAATGCGACTATAGAGCATACAGGAACTCGAGTTAAGAGATTATTTGGCCGTTGACGAACGTCCATTTAAACCATGTGAGTGTTTCTCCCTCCATGTAGAAGGTGGAGATGCACAAACGTTGGTCCTTTAGAGTGGAGTGGAAATAAAAAAAAAAGAGTGATTTTGAAGATCCGACCCACGGGATTTGTGACATCGAATCTAAGTATGTCTAGATTAATGGTAGTGGTGGGCGTGGAAAATTTAGTTCGATGAAAGTTGGAATCTCGAAGGTCCCAAACGATTCTAGAGGAGGTTGAGTTTGGTGTTAATGGTGGAGATATTATTTCGGAAAGTTTGCTGGTTTTGGAGGATTTGTTGAAGAGTGAGGGCAAGGTTGTCAGAACCAGGATGTTGTGATGAGCTCATGATAAAAAAATCAATGAAGGAACAAAATGTTTTGTTTCATAGTAAAGGAACTACGAGACTGGATCCTCCTAATGGGAATCACCTTTCCACCTACTACTCCTTGCCCAATATGGATTTCCTCAGAATACTTATGTTCAAATGAAAACACTTCACTCAATTCAGAGCATTATTAGAGGAAGTTGTCATAAATGAGTAATTAGTCTTGACAACCTTTTCATATTGGCTATTAAAGCAAACTTTCTCAACTTTCACAACTTCTCATATGTCACCTCTAAAATTTTATGGGCATCACACAAAGATTCTTCTAACTTTCCTAGTGTTTTCTTAGAAGAATTGAGAGCTGTTGACATTGACCAAAGAACTTTTTGTGTTAAATAAAACTTTCCACATGAAGGCTAGGGTCGTCTCATTCTCCTTTATTTTCACTTACATCTCTTTCACCCTTTCATCCAAGACCCATATTTATACACCTCATCACCTACCTCCCTCAAAAGCTTCCCCGATGCAATAAGCTCATGATAGTGTTTGTACATTTCAATAATACTAGCATTGAGACACTTTTGGAGAGATTCTTTTTAATTTTTGAAGGCTTCCAAGAGCCGAGACTTTACCCATTCCAACAACTCCAAATACCAATAAAATAGTGTTTTTACGCGAAAAAATCGCTAGCCTCTTATTAAAGGTTACTTGCGGATCGGCTACAATAATTTTAGACTTAGTATTTTGAGTGTTTTTGGGTTGAAACTGGTTGATATTGGATAAAAGGG